GCGTGTGTGTGTGTGTGTGTGTGTTTCAACTTCGGGGGTGCGAGCAAACGAGATGAAAGTGTAAACGCACGGTAAGATCTTGAACTCGTCTTTTTCCGAGGAGACAACAGCAAGAACTGAAGCAGTCTCCACGGACGGACCTTGCAGTCTGAGTCTACAATTATAGTTTATAAAAAGATTGACCAATGATTCCAAATCATTTATTCCCTGTTGACACACAGCAGATCATTCGAGAGACTGTCTACTTGTAGAGTTACAGAAGCACACAGGCACGACAACGGCCATTTAGAACAAGAAAAGGGCAATAAAGACAGACCAAAACAATAGAAAGAAAGATTTTTTAAAAGAACAAACCCAAGACTTTCATTCTCTCCTACCACCCGCTGGACTCCACAGCGTGCCCACTTAAAGTCAAAACACACGGACATTTTATCATTATTGTTTGATTGAAGGCAGCACGTTGGTATATTTTCGTGTGGTGCATATGAATAGAAAGCCCATTGACCTGAGCAACACAAATACAGAAATCATAAGGAAGCTAGAAAAGTATTTGTTAATATTTCAATTTGATAAAATGTAGGGTGAATATATGGGTTACCGTGACCTCATGCGCGACAAACGCTTGTAACTTATTCCAGGAATGGGTGTCGGGAGGGGGACTGGTAGACCTTTACCAAAATGTTGCTGAACATTTAAGGGGCACACGTTTTTCCTTGGTTCATGGAGTTAAGCAACACCCTGTACAAAACAAACACTTGTGTGTGTGAATCAAACTCAAGTCTAGTGCACTTCAAGTCCATTTCTTGGTACTTACTTTTTGTAAGGGTATATCTGTTTAACTTCTGTAAGTTTTTGAAGCGCATAAAAAATGAATAAAACTTGCGAGGGCAAAGAATTGGAAATGTTCCATTATATAGAATAGTTGGGAGTACACGAGAGGTAGTGAGGTAGGAGAGGCACTTATTCCAGGGAGACTGGCAAAAGACTTAAGCATCATGGGGACGAAGGTCAAAACATTTGGGTGAGTCATCCCAGGTCTCGTCCCAAAATCTGATTACATTAATATATTGTACATGTACATGTAATATACTTGTAGATGTTTTACGCCCGAACTGACACAATTTAGACCGATAAATTATTAGCTGACGGGTTACTTCAACCCTTACTGACTAAAGCAACCGTGGTTGAGAGGGATACAAAGTTCCAGTAGATATGCAAAGGAGATAATTGTCAAAAAATCCCCCCCCCCCCCCCGAATCGAACTAACGTCTTCTATGTGCCACAGCAAAAAGTGTAACCTCTGTGCAACAGAATTGTGTTCAAAATCAAGAGACAAAAAAGGAAAGGCAAGTAACCAGTAACCAGGTCCCTACGATACGCAATAAAAAGAAGTAGTCTAGAGAGCCGACCACAACATCCTTTCCTTGCAATCACTGCATTGTTTTTTTAGCGAGCTATGATATGTTTCATAAAAAATAAGGACATAAACTGAGAGTGGGCTAGCGGACCACACAAAAAACATTGCATTAAGCGCAGCAACGCAGTAATGCTGCCTATATGGACATTTTTTTACGGTTAAGAGCAGAGACTAAACACCAGTACGTAACTGCTTCAAACTATTCAATAAATAACCCCAGGCAACACAAACTTAATTTCAACCTCCCAACAAGAAATAAGCAGTGAAAAAAGTCTAGATTAAAGTTTCCAGACCAAGCATTGAGAAATATTATGGTCTCCCTAGTCCTGAGTCGTTGCTGACATCGGATCATAAAAAAGGCGATAAATCGCAGATGCCATGAGTTGAAATTACAAGAGCATGGCAAAATTAGAATTCATTAAGATAAGATCAAACGTTCTCAGAGATAAACATTTATGAGTGGACTGATTTTCACATTATGCAAAGGACGGTCATTGAACTGACCCGGCTGCTGATGGTATAAATACACATACAATTCTAGCTCTCTTCACACTTTTTGGCAGCTTACGATCCTTGCACACTTTTTGACACCTTCCAAGGGACCAGCTCATCCACCAAGCACAATGAACAAATTCGGTGAGTTTCGTTGATCCTGCTTGCTATGTTCTAAAGATTCTGGTCTATCTGTTGTGCATTTTTTAAAACATTAAATAAAAATATAAAACGAACATCGTTAAAGGCGATATATCTAAACAAAGCTAGCCTACTTGGCCTGTGGGTTAAAAGTCTCTCTCTCTCTCTCTCTCTCTCTCTCTCTCTCTCTCTCTCTCTCTCTCTCTCCCCTCCCTCCCCTCCCTCTTTGCCCTCTCTGTCTGGAAAGTGAAGTTGTGAAAACAAACAGCATCATTCGACTCTTTACTAAGAACCTTAGTTTACAAACATAGAAAGGTTATTCTCAGACTTAAATGACAAAGAACCTGCTCTATCAACAAATCCATCTACAGAAACCACCCATGGGTGACATACACACTAATGCGGTTAATAAGTTCCTTCCTCGGCTAGTTTAACTACCTTGAACAGGACAGTTTTCTATTGACCTGTACATCCTTCTCTCACTCTTCATCACCACAGATACCTTCCAGATGCTACTAATGAATATAGTTACTTTAATACTGCTCGTAATAGTAACAACAGCAATAATAATACTAATAATAAAGCAGACAATTTCTGTAGCTTTCTCTCTCATTCAGTACATCTCTAGGTGTTATACAATAACTCAAACGTAAAACAGAACGTAAGTGAATGAACATACACTCTTTTGACTAACAATAATACATAAGCTGACATTAATACTACCACAGCACAATGATGATGATAATATACTCATCACATTATGAACAAAAGAGTACCACGAATAAAAAGGGCTAACTATCAAGATAGCATTTCATAAGGCATGTTTTTTAATGAATTAGAAAGTTTTGCCTCCGGCTTTGTATCCCTCAAAGTTTGTGGGATTAAGCCAGTTGCGAAAAGGACCTATCAGTGAGCTTTTGACCTACCTACTTAGGTGTTTACTTTCAGATGATACCACATATAATATTCACAACTCATAAAAATATTGCCGGTGATATTCGAGGAACAAAAATTAGATGGACGGTATAGGGAACTGGTATAATCCAAGGAGCCGTCATTGTAACGTACAGAGACTGTATTGTTCATTCCATCAGCTTACATTGGAAGATAGTAAGTTTAAAGCTTAATCATCCATCAGCTAATCTGGGAAGGTAGTGGGTTTTGAACGAAAAGCTATCAGGAGACAGGGACTGTTGCATCATATGCGCTGTGTGCTGTTAATGTCTTGATTCTACATCAGTAGAAATATTTCAAGGTTGTTTACCTTTAAATTAATCAGATTAACAATTACCTATACGAATTAAACATATCCATACACGTTAACAGAAAAGGTCCAAAGTCCAAAAATACCAAGACATAACTATAGATCTCAAAACAATTGTGGTAAGGAAATAGAGCTAGTGGTGACACTCGGGGTTTTTACATCTGAACCCATTGTTTTTCCTTTTTGCTTTGATATAAAGCAATGTCCATAATATGCTAAGTACTTATTTTCTTTTACAAAACCAAACTCATACGCCCTTTCTCCACCCCCAGGCATTGTATTTCTATCCGCCGCCGTTCTAGTCGGAGCTGCCATGGCTCAAGACGCTGGCACCGCACTCTGTGGGGACGGATGCAGCCTGTTGTGTGAGACCATTGGCTCCCTGTGCGTGGATGTTCCTCCCCTTGTCAGCTGTGCCGGCAACAAAGCTGCCTGCAACGGTGCATGCGGACAGACCTGTTCCTGCAACGCCAAATGCCTCGCCGACTGCCAAACCAAGAACGCCGACTGTGAGGCCAAAAACGAGAACAGCTTCAACCAGATCGTCTGCAAAGGTCAAGTGTCTGTCTGCACAGCAGCCTGCCCTGTCACCTGCGCTGGTCAAGCCATCACCCAGGGCATCCAGCAAGCTTTGGGTCAAGCCCTCGCCGGTGTGACCAAGGCCGCCGCAGCATAAACCCCATCAACAACACCAGTCAAACGGAATCCCGGATGAAGACATGGACACGGCCCCCAGACATTAAAGTGGAGAACACTGTATCACGTTAATTGGCAACGAGTAACTTGTGATGTCAGTTGAAATCCAAAATAAAACAAAATAATTTTAAAATACTTTCTTTCGTGTCTTTCATAGAGTAGCAGTACAGTCCTCAATGTACTTGTAATCAGCTTTTTTCCCAATTCACATGAAATACTTATGTCTTTGTCGCATTAGATGTGGAAAATCAATCCACACCTTTAGCAACCTGAATGGTTCCCTGTTCAGACATTCTTTAAAAAAACAACGCTTGCTGGGATCAACTTCCAGGTCAAGACCACATCAGCCAAGGTCATTAGTATCGGTGAACAAGTAAATTTCATATCAGGCTTCTTCCACAGCTTACTGGTTCAGAGTGGCTCATCCATTTATTGACATTTTCAGAGAAGGCTGAGAAGTGGTCAAGAGAAAAGAGAAGTAAAAGGGGAAAATAGAGACGAAACTAAAAAAAAGACATGACGAGAACTTTTTAAAAGAGCATGACACCATCATAGACACAAATAACACAGCTTAAATGGGAACATAGCTGATTAAAAAGCAAAAAAGAGCCAGAGAAATATTACTACAAAAGAGTTCAGGACATGGACACATTCAAAATTCTATGAGTCCAAAATAAAGGGGACGTTCATGATGATTAGCTCCAAGTTTTCTCTACTATTGTTCACGGCTCCCAAACAACTGGGAAAAGAACAACTGTAATGAGATCAGTGAAAACAATGGATAAGCACGTGGAAGGCTTATAAGAATCACAGTCTTTACTTGAAAGAAATTTAAGGTAAATGGATACAGAGTTTGCGGGAAAGAGGGGGGGGGGTAGCCTTCTACTGTAACTGTGGGAGTACACTCAGGAGTATGGATGTCACAATATTCGAAGGTGAAAAGTGAAAATGTTTGGAATTTGGCTGAGGAAGCTACTATTGAAGGTCGTACTTTCAGTGAAAACTGAAGGGCATGGGTGAATCTTAGATTAGTCCCAAGAATTGGAAAACGCTGAACTCCTCTACATAAATTGAATATGGAAATCATGAAAGATTTACTTTACAAGAGGTGTATGAGTATCTTGAAATCCATGGAAGAAGATTTAGAACAACATTTCAAATGGGAAAAAATAGGGTGGGTATACAAGAGGGATCCCAACAATATTGTAGATTTGTAGAAAGTTCTAATCGAAAAAAGTACTTAATAATATGCAATCATAATATGTAGCACCCAGGGCCTGGATTTGTCCAAATTGGAGGACGTGGGCAGGGACAGAGGAGCATTGCGTCGACTGCTCACCGCCTTATGTACCTGAGGGTATAGGGGGAGAGTAAGTTAGTAAGTAATCAGTAACCCTAGACAAAATACAATAGATGATCTTTCATGTAGGCCTATCCAGAAATATTATCCTACAGAGTGAAAGAAATACAGTGGAAACCATTAAAAAACAAGTCTGGTAATAACAGGGAACCGGTAATAACAGGGATTTTTTAAATCCTCGTTTTTTTCCTACTCTGTATCTCTATTAAAAATTATCCGCAATATAGGGCATCATTGGAGCCCAATCGGTTATAGCAGGGACAAAGACTCGTTAACAATGTATAAAAAATAAGAGAGAGAGAGAGAGAGAGATGGAGAGAGAGAGAGAGAGGGGG